CCCCAAAACCCCAAAACCCCATTATTAAAATATAAGAAACGGAATCAGATGTTGGAAATATTGATGATTAAGGCATTTAAATTAAAAATAACATATAATCTATGAACTTCATTTCTTAGCAGGGGGTTTACCACCAGCTTTGCCCTATAGAGCTTCAAGTTCTCTCTGTTCCTCTTCCCACTCAACATCTTCCTCTGGCGTTCTTATACAACCTCCATCTAATACAATATTTTCTACTACCTCCTCATCATTCGCTCCTTTCTTTATCTATACTAATACATAAGCTTTCCTTTCTCTTAGCAGTGTATGTGCATATTAATCGCCACTTGCTCTTAAGTGTTTTCTCTCTCCAGTCTTCTCGCAGAGATCAACTATTTTTTGTTTCTACTCCTCCTCAGCTAACTTAGCTTGAGCTTCAGTTAATGCCGATAGTTTTCCAGAATAGACTTCAATTTACTTTTTTAATTCGTCTATCTGTGCTAGAGTTTCAGCTTTTTCTCGGGCTATTCTTATTTCTTCAGTTTCAACAACTGGCTCATCTTTTTTTTCTTCCTCAGCTTTACCTCCTTTTCCTGGGGCTGCTGGCTTCTTAGCTGCTTTATTTTTCTTCTCCTCTTCTGCTTTCCTGGCTGCTTCTTCTTCCTCCTTCTTCTTTTTTTCCTCCTCTTCTTTTCTTAAACGTTCTTATTCCTCTGCCTCTTTACGTTTCTTTTCTTCTTCCTCCTCTTACTATTATTTTTTTGTTTTTTTAGCAGGTTTTTCACCAGGCTTGGGTTTATCCTTTGCAGCTTTTTTCGGATCCTTTTTTTCTTTGACTTTGACTTCTTCCTTGGGAGCTTCAAGCGATTTAGGTGGTTCTAAACGTTCCAATTTTTTTTGCAAATTTTACTCTTTCTTTTTGAATGAGGAGATTTCTTTATTGAAAAATTCCTCTCTCTTCTTGAGGAATTTACCCATTTCCTTGTAGCATCCATCATTAATAGCATCGAGAAGAGGTGCTATCTGGCAGTTAATATTGAAAAGTTTGTTTTAATTGTAGCCAAACTAAACAGATATGAACATTTTTTATTTAATTATTATTTAAATTCACTTATAATCAATTATACTGTGATGAAGGGGTTTTGGGGTTTTGGGGTTTTGGGGTTTTGGGG